ACTTCACTCACTCCTACAGGACACCCACCCCTTCAAGTCAATCTAGCCGTCTTAAAGTTGTCCAGTTCCACTGCTGCTTTCTCTCCATCCCTTATTCCCAGCCCTAAATCCTCCACAAGGTGGTTAGTGAGCTTTTAAAAACTTAGAGCAGCCCTGGCCAGTGTGGCTCAAATAGCTGGAGCACCATCCCGTATACCAAAAGGTGGTGGGTTCGAGTCCCGGTGAGGGCACATATCCAGGTTTTGGATTTGATCCCTTGTTAGGGTTTGTGCAGGAGGCAACCTATCTAAGTTTCTCTCTCACACTGATGTTTCTCTCCCCCACCCCTTCCTCTCTAAAATCAACTAAAAATAAAATTAAAAAAAACAACAACACAAACACACAACTTAGGAACACATGACCGCCTTTCCTTAATGACTTTCCACCTCCTATCTTCAAGATCTACAAGGTTATTTGTGACCTGACTCCTGGTTCCTTCAACTCTCTCTCCTCTTGTTCCATTTCACCCCCAACTGCATCTGAAAAAAGTCCAACTCGTGACAATGCAGGGACAGTGGGGATGTGACCAGAGGGGGGAAGGAAAGGATTATAAAGAGTTTTTAAGGATAGTTTTGAGAGTGATTTCTATCATTCTCTTAATTGTGCTGGATTTATATTTGCATACACTTATCAAAGCTTATATATATTACACACTTTAAACATATGAAGTCTGTTGTGCTAATTACACATCCATAACGCAGTTATATAAATCGTTATGACACGGCTTGGGTGGGAAAAAGCCCAAACGATGTCCACATCGGTCCCTTTCCATTTGCTCTCCCGTGCCTGAGAACCCATCTTCTCAAGGCTTGCTCTTCACTTCACTGCCTGAGAAAGGGCTTCTCTGCCCGTTAGCTCCCCTCCTAGTATCGCCTATGACAGATCCTTCCCGTCCTTTTTAAGATGTGCTACAGTCTGAAACTGCGTTTATCTTCTGTCACCCCCGATGGACTGTGAGCTCCACTGGGCAGGGACTACATCGGTCTTTTTCACCGTTGGATCCGCCGATACGTAACTCTTTGCACATAGCAAAGGTTAAAAAGACTTGCTGAATTAATAATGACTAGTGGGATACCATTTCTTTGGACGCCAGCAATCACAAACTCAGGCTTTTCCCTTGTGAATAACAACCCCAAACCCGTATGCAGTGGGGATGGAAGGATTTCGTTCAACAGACTTGAGGGCCGAGGTTAACCCGGCCAGACTGAACGACGGACTCCAGTGTGCCCGGAACACCGATGCCCGAGGGCCGCCGAGACGAGAGGCCCCTGCCCCCAGGAGCGGCCTGCACCTCAGCCTGCCCAGTGATGGACGAGACTGCAGGCGGGCTTCTCTACGAGAGGCAGAACGGAGAACCAAGTCCCACGCGCCACATACCTCAGGTTCACCACTCACAGCCCACACGCTCCAAACGACCCGAAGCCCAGCACTTCCGCCTTCCGGGCTGCCTCGCCACACCGCCCCGCCCCGCCCCCTGGCGCGTTGCACGCTGGGAGCCCATATCCGGGCACGCCTCCAGAGGCGGGGTCTTCTGAAGTTGCACGCTGACGCGCTTCCGGCGTTTGCCGGCCTGCAGGCCTTGGAGCCTGGCTCCTCCCAAACAGGTTCCGAAGCGGAAGTTGAAGAATGCGGAAGAGCCCCGGTCGAGGTCGGGGCGCCCGCCAGGCCCGCTTCCCGAGCGCGGCGGCGGCAGTCTGACATTTTAACCCAACGAGTGACGTTGACCCCCGGACCCTGCTGCCAGGTAAGGAGCTCAGAGCCGGCCTTTAGCTCTCACGTTCACACAGTACTAATGGATTCCCGCCGAAACATCCTCCCATGGGCACAAACTATAATGGGGTAAAGGCCTAGGGTAGGGGGCTTTTTAAAAAAATTAGCCCGCTGTATTTGGTCAAACATTTAATTAGTTCACCCCTAATGCCTTGGCAGGGACAGACCAAATGACTTCGCAGGCCGGACGTTCCCTACCCTGTATTAGAACTTCTTTCAAAAATAAATGTATGTACTGCGTTTTAGAGAAAGCTCACTTCTACGTAGTTCAGATTGATTGCATCTTGCTTAACATACCAGGCCAAGGCTATTAAATAGACATTTGGCACAAGAAGAGAGAAAAAGACAAACTTATGAAAATGTCTTGGTGTTAAATATATGCCGTAATTCAGCATTACTAATGCTTTAAAAAACTGAATTTTAACCTAATCTTCTCTCCAGTTTGTATAGTTAAGTGGCCTTGGAATATTTAAAAATCCCTATTCCATTCCTTCATCCATTTGTGTGTACTCTGTGATGAGCACTGTGTGATGAGCACTCTGCTGGGTATACAAAGATGAAGGAAACCCCACTACAGACTTCAGGAAACTTGAACCCCTGATGGAAGGACAAGGCTTCGGGGGTCAAAGTGGACATTGCTTCTCCCCCCTCACAGGGTGGACGGATGCTGTGGGGCGGGAGGCACAGTGGGTCGCACTGCGTACCTGACAGGAAGTGGGCTGTCTCCATCTGAAAGGCATACTGCACTATAGCCCCGGCCCTCACCCCGCCTTCCCAGTCAGGCCTCCGTGTGGAACCCCTGATGTGCATAATCACCTAGTGAAAGAGTTAGACTGCTGGGACTCATGGTGGCTCCTGCTGCCCAGGCCCGATGATGGAAGTGGACTGAAGCCAGGTGTGAGAAGTCATGCAGGCCAGTTAGGCAGGGTCTGCTGCACCTCCTTCCTCAGATTACACTCAGTCAACCGTTCTCAGACACTGCCCCTACCTCCCTCTCCGACTGCATTTTGTACCTTACACATGGAGTTGCCTGTCACTCTGAGTCCCACTAATTCCACTTTTTTAGTATTTCTGGAGTCTGTATTTTCACGTTTACTTGATGTAAAAAAAAATGAAGTTGCACGCACCCTTTTATCCAGTAATTCTGCGTCCGGGTATATTCCCTACCTGGACAAACTCTGTTATCTGTGCATGCTGGTAAACATACAGGGACATACAGAGCAGGACTGATTATGATGGTAAAAAATTCAATGACAGAAGAATGTATGAATAACTATGGTTCCTTTATAAACTATAATACTCTACACCAATGGTTTTCAAACTTCTGGGTGTAGTGGTTTCTGTACACCCTTAGAAATTACAATATTTTTCATACCAAAAATTACAATTTTTGGAAAACTTGATACAATTTTTAAAAGATAAATTATTTACATGTCTACGTTTTATCTTAAAAAGTGTATTTCCCAAAACAAAAAAACAATTTACTGAAAACAGTGGCATTGCTTTACATTTTAAAAAAATGGTTTGGCTCAGTGGATAGGGTGTTGGCCTGCGGACTCAAGGGTCCCAGGTTCGATTCCAGTCAAGGGCATGTACCTTGGTTGCGGGCACATACCCGGTAGGGAGTGTGCAGGAGGCAGCTGATCGATGTTTCTCTCTCATCGATGTTTCTAACTCTCTATCCTTCTCCCTTCCTCTGTAAAAAATCAATAAAATATATTTTTAAAAAATAAAAAATGGTTTAGCCCAGCCGGTGTGGCTCAGTGGTTCAACATTGACCTATGAACCAGGTTGCAGTTCAATTCCCAGTCAGGCAGCCAGTTGATGTCTCTCTGGTGTTGTGGGTTCCATCCCAGTAGGGGGCATGCAGGAGGCAGCCTATCAATGATTCTCTCTCATCATGATGTTTCTATCTCCCTTTCCCTCTCTGAAATAAATAAAAAAATAAATAAAAATATATCTCTTTATATGTTTGTATTGATTTGATTAACTTTTAGAGAAACATTTTGTGTCCCACTTATTTATGTATTCATTGGTTGCTTCTTGTATGAAATTTATCTCTCACAGTTCTGGAGGCTGGGAAGTCCAACATCAAGGTGCCGGCAGATTTGATGTCCAGTAAAGGCCTCCTTTCTAGTTCACAGACTATGTCTTTTCACTGTAACCTCACATGGGACAATGGGTGAGAGGTCTCTACAGGGTCTCTAATCCTTTAAGAGTAGGAATCCCATTCATGAGAACTCCACCCTCATGACCTAATCACATCCCCAAAGCTGTACCTCCTGAAACCATCACCCTGGGCATTAGGTTGTGGGACACAAACATTCAGATCAGACCACTGCAAAGTCCTAACTCTTTTTAGTATCTCAGAATGTGACTATATTTGGAGATAGGTCCAAAAGAGGTAATTAAGGTAAAATGAGATCACTAGGGTCCCCTAATCCAATATGACTGGTGTCCTTATAAGAAGAAATTTCACACAGACAAGTATAGTGAAAGACCATGTGAAAACGGGGAGAATATGACAAGCCAAAAGCGAGGCCTCAGAGAAACAAATCCCAACACCTTGATCTTGGACTTCTAGCCTTCAGAACTGTGAGAAAATACAATTCTGATTAAGCTACCAGGCTGTAATACTTCGTTATGGCATCTCAATAAAGTATTACAGTGAGGAAACTTGCCAAAGTTTCACTGGCCACTAGTTTACAGTTATAATTTTAAAATGAAACCTGCACTTAAAAAAAAATGTCAAATTTTATGTCACAATATCTGACTTTCAAGCAGATTAATTTTTAATACATTTTATGATGAAACATCATTAACACTTTAACACAATTCTGAATAATTCTCTGGAATTTATCTTTTAAAATTTTTCCTTTCTAAATAAAATAAACAAATCCCTAGCAGCTCAAGGCAGAAACCAACCCTGGACAGGATGCTGTCGCATCACAGGAGGCACACATACCCTCACTCACTCTGACTGGGACAGTTCAGACGTGCCAGTTCATCTTTGGGATATGGAAGGAAACCAGGGTATCCAGAGAGAGCCCATGCAGACATGGGGAGAACTTGCAAACTACACACCAACAGTGGCCCTTACTGGGGATGGATTTTTTTTTCTCACTGAACAAAATATTAAGATCCTGCTATATTATAATATAGTAATAGATCAGAAGTACACAGCACACAAATAAAGTAATAATTGATAGTTGTTTCAAACTTTATTAATCATTTTACATATCCTGTTTTCAGTCACTTTTTAGCTGCTTCCAAAAGTCGCAACAGGTGCAAGAATAGATTGATGATATCCAAGTAGAGATTGATGGCAGCTAATACATACTCCTCAGGTGATAGCCTGTGCATCAGTGAATGTGTGTCATAGATGATGAATCCACAGAAAAGAAGCGCTCCTACAGCAGCCACAACCAATTCTACTGTCTCACTATAAAAAAATAACTGTAGGCAAAACATTAAAGTAATAAGTAAGAACAGTATTAAGCATACTGAAATATGTAACTCTTAAGTTACATATACTACATACCTATATATTTAATAATGCTGTACAACTTTGAATACAAATGTTAAAAGAAAAAGGCAAAGCAGGTCCACCCTGGCTTCTGATAGATGAAAGAGTGACTGGTTGAATCAATGGATATCCCCCTACTAGATAACCCACTGACTTTGAACAGTAGCATCCCAAATATAAACTACTAAAAAATTTTTTTCATAATGATATGTGCCACTTGGAGGTTAGCAATTACAAATGAGGGCCTTTAAAACTCATTTGTTCATCTTTCTTTCTATCAATAATACTGATTAACATAAAACCTTGATTTTTCAAAAGATAATTTTATAACCGCTCTATACAAATGTTTCAGATAATTATAATGAAGTATCCTATCTTAAGATTATGCCTCTGACAGCTTTTTTGAGAGTATAGTATTTATATTGACATGGCCAGAATTATATTTCAAGTTATCATTCTAAAATAACTCACCCTCAAGATTCCTGACAAGCACAAAATCCACAAAACAGCAAACAGTCTATGGAAATAAAATATTAATAATTAAAATTAAAATATTAATAATTTAGAATATTGTTTCTTACAAAAAACTTTGTAAACCCATTCAACATATTCTGAAGAAATAAATCCATCCTGCTATTTGTCAAAGAATAGTTTAAATGTAAGAATTCATAAGGATCATTCCCATATATCTATTAGTTTGAAGAAGGATACAGCTTAATCAAATGGATCAAAAAGGTTTTAAGGTTCATGCAGACATCTCCAAAATCTTGCTTTCACCAAGGTTTTGGATGGTTTTGGTAACATTTATGTTAAGACAAAAACCTAAATAATTTAGGCAAATTCCATACCATTCATAAAGCACAGAAGCCTACTCTCTAGAAAGCTAATTTATTTTAGAATTCACTTCCTTTTCAACATAGAGGGGAAGGAAATGACTCAAAGCCAGTTTCCATGCCCTTGAATGTTCTGGGAGAGTAGGATCCTATAACTCAAAGAGATGACCTTTCATTGTGCTCCACTTTAAAAGGCAGTATTCAAAACTAACAGTATAGCACTTCTCTCAAAATTATAATATTAAAGATATCTATCATAGCCATGAATACATTACTTACCCTGCTCCAAATTTGCTGAAATCTTTCTTAGATTGTAGAGTATACATAGTCAAACCAAGAAATACTGCAGTAGTCAGTACAAAAGCTTGGAGAATAATATACACATCATAGAAAGTAACTGTAAAATTAAAAAAAAAAAACAGATTAAAAGTGCATATAAATATACTCAGTATAAAACAGCTTTCTTTCTGGGTCTAAACCAAAATGCTTTATTTTCTCATACTGCATGCCAATAAGAACTAAGAAAAGATTCCTTATTCAGCCTTGAGTATTGATTGGTACAGTAAGACTACCTCCATAATGCAATAACTAGGCTCCAAAATATTCATCAATGCAAAATAAGGAGGTCACATTATTCTGAGTTAAAGAAATGACTGGAGATTACACAGCTAGCCAGTTAGGAGTTTTGGGGGTATGGAGGAACAATTCTCACCCTACCCCTGTTCTAGATGCAATTAATCACTATCTGCGGTGATTGTCCATTATGGCTTAGATATCAATAGAGAGGATTCTGGGTTCTGTGGCTGGCCGGGAATTCCTGGATAGTATATAGCAGTTCTAGCAATCACCTGGTTAATTGTACCCAGTTCATGGATTGAATATGGCTATTGCAGTACAACTGCTTAACATTTTAAGAAAATGATAAATTATAACCTCTTTAAAGGAAGTTAACTGATTTGAACCCCAAACCACGTAAGTTATTTTTAATTTTTCAGGGATTAATTATCCAAGCTCTTTCTATTCCTAAACGCTAAATTATTGTAATTTCTCCATTTATGCCATTAAAGGATTAGGAAGGTGAACGCAGAAAGATAAAACATGAAATCACTTTTGCTTCTTGTCAGTAATTTCAGTGTAAGACAGCCGTGGGCAAACTACGGCCTGTGGGCCAGATCCGGCCCGTTTGAAATGAATAAAACTAAAAAAAAAAAAAAGACCGTATCCTTTTATGTAATGATGTTTACTTTGAATTTATATTAGTTCACACAAACACTCCATCCATGCTTTTGTTCCGGCCCTCCGGTCCAGTTTAAGAACCTATTGTGGCCCTCGAGTCAAAAAGTTTGCCCACCCCGGTGTAAGATGTTCTCAGATTATCCTCTCTACGTATTTCTACCCCCAATTCCAATACCCTTGAAATAAATCTCTTTCCTATATCCCTGACAAATGGTGGAGTCAGGGAGGGCAGAGATGGATTTGATAAAAACATTAATAGTAAGTAACATTAATAGATAATAAATCTAACACGTAAATATTAACACTTCCTATGTTATAAAATTTCAGTCCTATTTTAGTACTATTTTCTTATATTCTAATTATTTTATAAAAGAGGTAATTACCAAACAATACATAAATTCAATAAACTGGCATCAAAAGTTAAAAAAAGTATTGACAAGATAGGAAGAGATAAATATATTAACCATAAGGATTAACAGTTTATTGAGAGTAATGGTTAATACTGACCCTTTTGATACCCCAGGTTATCATTTTGAAACAATCATAATTTTTACTGTTAATCATAAATTTTTTTACTTGAGGCATTAAATAGGGTACATCAAGTAATTATAAAAGACATTCCTTTCAAACACATTTAACACCAAATACAAAACAAAAATTACTGCTATTTTTTTGTGGGGCCATTTTTGAAAAGATGAGGATCTATATATATAAAAAACCAGTGACCAAAAACAAAAAAAAAACCAGTGACCAGAACGCCGTAACGACTGAAACAACCAGTCGCTATGACACCCACTGCAGCCAGCCAACCGACCCGATGGGGGGAAGGGGCCAGCCGGCCAATCTCCCATGGCCCCTCCCCACCAGCCGGCCCTGCCCCTGATTGGCCTCTCCCACCCCAATCAAGGGCAGGGCGGCCAGCCAACCCCCCCCCCCAGCCCCCCCGTGGCCCTTTCCCCTGGCCGGCCCCGCCCCTGATCACCCCACCCACCCCAATAGAGGGTGGGGCCAGCTAGCTAACCTCCTGCAGCCTCTCTTCCCACCCGGCCCCACCCCCAATGGGCCCACACCACCCCGACTGACCTGCGGCCCCTCCCCCCAGTCAGCTCCACCCCCCAATCACCCCCACCACACCAATTGGGGGTGGGGCTGGCCAACCTCCCACAGCCCTTCCCTGGTTGCTGACCCCTGATAGGCTCCCCCAGTCAGCCCCCCCCTCACCCCAATCAGGGCCGGGGCCCACTAGCCAATCGCCTGCGGCCCCTCCCCCCAGCCGGCCTGGCCCTGATTGGCCCCGATCAGGGTGGGCCAGCTGGCCAACCTCCCGCCATCTCCGCCCCGACAAGCCTTGCCCTGATCCGCCCCAATTGGGGCCAGGCTGGCTGGACCCCACCCATGCACAAATTCGTGCACTGTTGCACTGGGCCTCTAGTATCATGATAAAGTATAGTTTGATGCAGACAATTTAAGAGGCTGAGCTCGTAAAAAAAAAAGAAAGAAAAAAAGCCTGGCCAGTATGGCTCAGTGGCTAAACATTAACCAATGAACCAGGAGGTCACGGTTCAATTCCAGGTTAGGGCACGTGCCCATGTGTTGCAGGAGGTAGATTCTCATCGTTGATGTTTTTGTCTTTCTCCCTCTCTGAAATCAATAAAAATATATTAAAAAAAGAAAAAGAGGCTGAGCTCATGATGAAAGTACCTGGCTCAAAACATGTCATCAGCTCCTCTAAGGGCCCTTTAAATTACAGAAAAGATTGACTTATTTTTATAAATGAATAAACACAAATGAATATTATTCTACATTCCTACTGTTTTTCTAATTCTTTTTCACTCCCTCTAAGCTCAGTTGAACTATGTAAAGTATAAACATTTAATTTTTGCCTATATTTTAGGAATTTTTTAGTCTATACCATATTTTTGAAATATGACATTCCATGATGTTAAGCTTTAGTCCCAAATCCTTATCCATATTAAAAACTAACTGTAATACATAGGAGAATAATTATGGCTTACCAACACAGGCCACAGACAGAGCTTCCAACAGTGTCTAAGAAAAAGAAATTGAAATTACATAAATGCATGTGAAATTTATACTGTCATGTACATGGTTCTAATTTCTAGTTCAATGTGATTCCATATGTATGATCTCATTTTAGCTTCAGAGCAGCCTTGTAAAGTATATGGGACAGATAATAAGCCCATCATATAAAAATGAGACCTCAATATATTGAGTGAGAATATTTAGATTCTAATTGTGATCCCATCACTCCTTAAACTCCAATTAGATATTTCATTATCTGTAAGAGGAAAATTATAGAAATAGTACTGAAAATTCTATTTTTCTCACTTTGTGTAATGTAAATAAAAATGAAATTGCAAATCATGTGTACATTTATAAAAACATAAATATCTCACTTAAACATAGGAATATTAAACATTTATATTAAATTACTAATTAATTTAATACTAAATATACAGGTAGCACTTTGGTGTGGCAATCTTAAAACTTTCTCACAATATTCTCTTTCTTCCCTAGTAACAGAATTTTTACCTGGACACACATTTTTACCTGCTTTTATTAAACATTCTATTTTTCAGTATCCCTTACAGCTAGATCTGGCCAAGACTATATTCCAGCCAACAGAATGCGAGTGGAAACATGTACAACTTCTAAAAGTAAAGAGGCTTCCTCCCTTTTCTCAAATAATTAGATGGAATATGGATATGATAGTGAACATCTTATACCATATGACACTTTAGGAATATCTGAACCTTAGCAGGTACCTGGACCTCTGACAACTCCACTAAACCGTCATTCATATTTTTTACATGAAAGAGAAATAAACCTTGTTTTAAACCATATCACAAGTAGCTCTAGTTTCTTTTCTCTTAACTATATATCTTTACTTTTTTTATATGCTTACTCTACCATAGATTTGTCTCAGTCATCTGAGAGACTATATCATAAAAGCAAAGTCAGCAGTATCAGTAGTGGTTTATAATCGTACACAGAAACACTCCCTATTAACCTTCCCTACCTAAAATCAAGAAATCATTAGGACCAGAGCAAAAATGGTATTAGAAACTGTACATGGATGTGGAGTCAATGAAGTCACTGCCACATCCTATATAATAAAGAGGCAATATGCAAATTGACCATCACTCCAACACAAGATGGCCACCCCCATGTGGTCAAAGATGGCCAGCAGGGGAGGGCAGTTAGGGGCAATCGGGCCGGCAGGGGAGCAGTTAGGCATTGATCAGGCTGGCAGGGGAGTGGTTAGGGGTTGATCAGGCTGGCAGGGGTTAGGGGCAATCAAGCAGGCAGGCGAGCGGTTGGGAACCAGCAGTCCCGGATTGTGAGAGGGATGTCTGACTGTCCGTTTAGGCCTGATCCCACCGGACATCCCTCGAGGGGTCCCAGATTGGAGAGGGTGCAGGCTGGGCTGTGGGATAACCTTTCCTATAACAAATTTTCAAAGTCGTGAGCTTTTCTTTCATAATATTAACAAAAAGGTGCTATCAGAATTCATAAAACTTTCTTAAAGGCAGTTTAATCTGATAAATAGCATTGTCAATATTATTTGACTATAAATATTCTTAATAGAAGTTTGGAAGATTTTGATGTACATTTTTAAGTCAAAACTCAAATCACACTGGATATAAAAATGGGAAAAGTAATTTTTAAAATATATAACTTGAGGCCTTACCAACTCATTCTGGTAAGATTCTAAGATTGAGTTTTTATAGGTAGTAGTTTGGGTTTTCATTTTCACAAATATTTGAAACAAATGTGACTTAAACTTAGTTCCCCCAACAATGATTTTGAAACAAGTTATTTAGTAAAGCACATCAATTGAACAAAGTGGTCCTTTAAAAGAACCAGAGTCATTAGACAAAAATAAACCGAGAAATTAATCATAAAGATTTCAATTTAAGGCCTATGAAATTAAGGCCAAAATGTAATTTTTTACCAAATAAAAGCATAGAATATTAGGAGTAGAAAGTATCAAAGGGATAATCTACTTTAATATTTTCATTTTACACATGAGAAAACTTAGGTACAGAAAGGCTAAATGCTCTACCAAATGTCACATAACCAGATAGTGGCAAAGCCAGGTCACGTGATTCCAATTCATTACTTTTTCCACTATATCATAATATTGACATTAAAACTTTGAAACTGACAAAAGTTCAAAAATTTTTACAGACTAGGAGACTAGGAGATTATAAATTCTGTTAGTTTACATAGATGCATTCAATTAAGTAAGTAAATTTAAAACTCAGTAATAAATGTTAAAGGGACAGATATTGTCAAAGTACTCACAAATCCAAAAAGCAGGTACAGGTTAAGGGGATGCTTATGTCTATTTAGAATCAATGCAAAAATTGAACCCAAAGATCCAATGGCAAACACCAAAATTAAGGCAGGACTGAAAGACAAAATTAAAAGCAGTTTAAAGTTAAAAAAAAATACAGCATAAATAATATTACAAAATTTAATAAAATGTGTCTATTTTATGTGTTTGTGAAAGTACAAAAACAATTTGAAGGATCCACACCAACTTGTCAAAAGAAATTATTTTTCCATCAGGGAAATCTGAGGAGTATGAGATGGAAAGGAGTACCAGGACAAAGAAAAGAGCTCACAATGCAAGGGGAAGACTTTTCCTTTTTACTTCATGAACATATCATATTTGAATAAATTTTGCAATTGCTTTTTTAACCAAAATACAAAGAAAAGCTATTAAATACTAAACAAATTTTTTAAATCTTTAAACAAAATTTTTAAATATGTTTTTATTGATTTCAGAGAGGAAGGGAGAGGAAGCAAGAGATAGAAACATCAATCATGAAAGAGAATCATTGATCGGCTGCCTCCTGCATGCCCCCACTGGGGAATCAAGCCTTACAACCCGGGCATGTGCCCTGGCTGGGAATCAAAACGACCTCCTGGTTCATAGGTCGAAGCTCAACCACTGAGCCACATCAGCTGAACAATAAACAAATTTTATACCTAACTACTTTTTTAGGTATTTACTACATAGCTGTAATTTAAATTAATGATCTTTACCCCAATTGCAAACAAATAGTTCAAGATTTTCCTTTTGTAGGGGAAGGGAGGATAGAAATTGTCTACTCCTAAGAAAATATTCATTCCTTATTTTTCCTTTCCTTTAATATAAAGATTCTATATTACTTTTAGCCATAAAAATAATTATTCTGGAGGTCAGGTCTTAAACAAATTTGGGACAAATCATATGGAGTGCCTTTGAAAACTTTTCAGTGAAATTATCCTAGGCCTGATCCAATACTAAGATGAATTAAAAACACATTAGTTAAATACCTTTATTTTTCAAGTGCTCTATTAGGCTTTGGGGACAAGGCATAAGTCTAATAAAAGCAAAAAATTAAGACTAAAAACTGTATACAGTAAAAATTCTTAATACAATTCCAGGAAATAAGGGGGTTTAAACCTATAAAACTGTAAACTAAAAAGTTGAGAGGTAAATACCATGTTATAGAATATTTATCAAAACAAAACTAATGTTATTTACAAGAGTTAATAAACACTTTTACATTCAAACATAAAAAGAGAATAGAAAATAAAGAACTTTGCTTATTCCCTTTTGATCAGAATCGTCTTACCTTTCATGTACAAATGTCCGTATAGACTCGAAGTGTAAAAAAATTGCAGATGTCACTGTAGTTAAGAGAACTTGCAAAGAAAGGATGGTGTAGACTTTTCTTAGAAAGGCTAGAAAAGAAAAAAAAAAATCATACATAACTATTTTCTTAAACATTTGTCATAGAACAGCAAGATCAAATGTCTTATTAAATTTGTATATGTATTTCTTAAATATTAACCCAAATAATGTTATCTGTAACTGAAACTTAAAGAAAATGCTTCCAAAGGGGAAAAAATTGTTAAGAGGTAACTGTCTTCCAAGAAGCATCAACTTAAAAAAAAATTAATGGGCCAGAATGTAAATGTTTTTCCATCAATATAAAAAGAAAGCATTGAATGCATATTTGTAAATAGCAGTGGTACAACAAAAGATTAAAAAACAGAACACTTTAAAAGAATGATTCTATCTTGAAACTGAAATGCAGGAACAGAAAGCATGTGTTTACATATAAATTTAAGAAGAAATCTTAATTTCCAAGCAGTACAAATGTTTCCCTAAAATGAACTTCCCCTTAAAAGGCAAACAATATATAAATGTAACTTTCACTCACCCATTTTTATTTCTCACTTATAGTACCTCTGCCTCTAGTTTTTATACAATAGAAATTCTTACTTTCAGAATATTTTATCAACATCCATAAATTAACTCCAAGGCCTAAAGATTTAAAAATACTTAGTCTTCTGATATAGATAATATAAGTAATACACTGAACACCTGACTCACCACCAGCTTCACAAATAAAACATTAACAACAGTTCCCACCTCCTCTATGTAAACATCTATAATAATAAAAGCATAATATGCTAATTAGGCTGGATGTCCTTCCAGATGACCTCCAGCGGTTCTCAACCTGTGGGTCGCGACCCCTTTGGTGGGTGAACAACCCTTTCACAGGGGTCGCCTAAGACCATCCTGCATATCAGATATTTACATTATAATTCATAACAGTAGCAACATTACAGTTATGAAGTAGCAATGAAAATAATTTTATGGCTGGGGGCACAACATGAGGAACTGTATTTAAAGGGCCAGAAGGTTGAGAACCACTGTTCCAGACGAAGCCGGGGCTGGGAGAGAAGCTGGTGCTGGCAGGCAGGGGAAGGAAGGCCTACTCTTGCATGAATTTCATGCATCGGGCCTCTTGTACTGATAATAACATCCCTCATCCCCTTAGCTAACTGCTAGTCACCTTTCAAGATTCAGCCTCTCTCATTTCCCCAGTCTGAATTAAATGTTCTTCCTCATGCTCCCAGTTTACCCTAACCATACTTCTAATCACATTATTTTTTTTTTTTATTTTTTTTTTTTATCTTCACCCAAGGATATGTTTTCATTGATTTCAGAGAGAGAGAGAGAGAGAGAGAAGGGGAGAGAAACATCGATTGGAGGATAATTAATGATATCAATCAAATTTAAAATATACATACTCTTTTGACCCATTAATTTCACTTCTAAAAATTTATCCTAGAGCAGGGGTGGGCAAACTTTTTGACTTGAGGGCCACAATGGGTTCTTAAACTGGACGGGAGGGCCGGAACAAAAGCATGGATGGAGTGTTTGTGTGAACTAATATAAATTCAAAGTAAACATCATTACATAAAAGGGCACGGTCTTTTTTTTGTTTTGTTTTGTTCATTTCAAATGGGCCGGATCCGGCCCGCGGGCCGTAGTTTGCCCACGGCTGTCCTAGAGCAACACTTGCAGAAATTTACAGAGTTATGGAAAGATGTTCCCTAAAGCACTAGTTGAAGGAATACAAAAAAATAACCTAAATATCCATCAAGAGGGTATGATTAAATTAATTGTGGTACACACATACTAGGTAAGACCACTGCCATTAAAAGGCTATTGTGTACTGCAATTTTTCTAAAATATATATTTTGTTATTTTAGAGAGAGAAAGGGAGAGGGAGAAACATCGATGAGAGAACCATTGATCAGCTGCCTCTTGCATGCCCCTATTGGGATTGAGCCCACACCTGGGCATGTGCCCTGACTGGGAATTAAACTGGAACAATGCTCAACCAACTGAGACACACTGTACTGCTATTTTTACATGTAAAACATATTAAGTGAAAATACAAAATTGCAGGAAAGTATATATAATCCCATAAATTATAACATTCTCCTGAGTCTATAAAATAGTATGTGTTCGTGTTTCAAAAATATACATATAGCATATTGCTAAAATAGACTAGTTTAATAGGCTATAATATATTTCATATATAACTAACTATATAAACTTAATTGGCACTGTAAAAGCCACCCAGCCAGGTAAGAACAATGTTATTTTAGACAAGTGTTTTTAAACTTAGTTTTATGTAAATCATGGGTGTATATTATTTCTGGATTATAATTCCAGAGAAAATGAACTCAAAAATTCATTCTCCCATAATTTTTCTGTAGCTTCATGATTTGTTGTTTTCCAACAAGGAGCCTTGACATTTTATATTTATAATATAACAAAATTATTTTCCAGAAAATGTACACATTACAGTCAGCTTAATTTTGCTTTAAAAAACAAGTGGAACATTTCTTTTTTAAAAAAATATATATTTTTATTGATTTCAGAGAGGAAGGGAAGGGAGAGAGAGATAGAAACATCAATGATGAGAGAGAATCATTGATTGGCTGCTTCCTGCACACCCCCTAATGGGGATGGAGCCCGCAACCCAGGCATGTGCCCTTGGCTGGAATCGAACCTGGGACCCTTCAGTCTGCAGGCTGATGCTCTATCTACCGAGCCAAACCAGCCAGGGCTGGAACATTTCTTTTTTACTTATTAATTGGTAAAGGAACAGAGACAGCTGAGAACCACTTTTTAATACAAATGTAGTCAGCTCAGTTACCAGCCTAATTCCCAGGGCTCCTAAGTAAAATGCTCCAGCATAATTTAAATATTCATGAATGAGTAAATGTTCATTGAGTTTTGGGTTATTTAGATCAGTATTGTCATAGTGACATAAGACATACAGAAATAAATATAAGACTAATTTTTCTTTAAAAACAGTTTAGGTATGCAGAGAGGTAGAAATTATGAAATCTGGTTTAGGGATTTATGAAATCTGGTTTCTAGTCCCGGAGCTTCACTGCAAAGAACCATGCTATTTTATTTATATGCTTTTATTTATTTTAGAGAGAGTAAAGGAGGGACAGAGAGAGAAACATCAGTGGTGAGAGAGAATCATCTACCAGCTGCCTCCTGCACTCCCACTCCCCCTACTGGGGATCCAGTCTGCAACCCAGGTATGTGCCCTGACCAGGAATCGAACTGTAACTTCCTGGTTCATGGGTTGACACTCAACCACTAAGCCACCCAGCCAGGTAAGAACAATGTTATTTTAGACAAGTGTTTTTAAACTTAGTTTTATGTAAATCATGGGTGTATATTATTTCTGGATTATAATTCCAGAGAAAATGACAATATTGTTATCACAAAAATTCTGAGCAAAACTTTGTGGCATTCAGTTTCAGGGGTTGGTGGAAGGGAGGGATAAACGGGGAGAGCATGGAGGATTTTTAAGATAGTGAAACTATTCTGTATGATACTGTAAAGGTAGGTGTAAGTCATTATACATTTATCAAAACCCAAAGAATGTACAACACCTAGAATGAACCCTAATGTAAATTATGGGCTTTGGGTGATAATGATGTGTCAGTGTAGATTCATGGATTGTAACGAATATACCAGTCTGGTACAGGATGTTGATAATGGGAGAGGCTTGGAGTGTGTCTGGGCAAGGGTATATGGGAACTCTCTGTAATGTGGATTTCTTTCAATAGATGGAGTTACACATATGTTGATATATATGCGATTTGATATGTATGCTATTTTGTTGTATTGACAGCAAGCTTCAAAACTTCATATGTCAAACTTGCTGAAGGTGTTAACATCATAGATATTTTTACGCTTAAAAAATGTCGAATTTCGTGCCAAAAAAAGAGCATTTGCGGGAAGTTTTAATTCATTACTTTATTTTGAAGAAACGTGCTGCTGAAAGTTATCGTATACTTCGGGAAGCTTATGGTGAACATGCTCCATCTCAAGATACTTGTGAACGCTGGTTTAAACGCTTTAAAAGTGATGATTTCGATGTGAAAGACAAAGAACGTCCAGGTCAACCGAAAAAATTTGAAGACCAACAATTACAAGCATTATTGGATGAAGATGCGTGTCAAACTCAAAAACAACTTGCAGAAAGATTAAACGTTGCTCAGCAAACAATTTCTGATCGTTTACAAGCAATGGGAAAGATTTTAAAGGAAGGAAAATGGGTGCCACATCAACTGAACGAAAGACAAATGGAAAACCGAAAAGTCATCAGTAAAATGTTGCTTCAACGGCACGAAAGAAAGTCTTTTTTGCATCGAATTGTGACTGGCGATGAAAAGTGGATTTATTTTGAGAATCCCAAATGCACAAAATCATGGGTTGATCCAGGTCAACCATCAACATCGACTGCAAGGCCAAATCACTTCGGAAACAAGACAATGCTCTGCTTTTGGTGGGATCAGGAAGGTGTGGTGTATTATGAGCTTCTAAAACCAGGTGAAACCATTAATACTGATCGCTACCGACAACAAATAATCAACTTGAACCACGCTTTGATCATAAAACGACCAGAATGGGCCAGGAGACACGGCAAAGTAATTTTGCTTCATGATGACGCGCCATCACACACTTCAAAACCAGTTAAAGACACATTAAAAGATCTTGCCTGGGAAGTATTAACCCACCCACCGTATTCACCAGACCTTGCTCCTTCAGATTACCACTTGTTTCGGTCGATGGCACATGCACTTTCTGAGCAGGACTTCAAAACATACGAAGAAGTGGAAAACTGGGTCTCTGAATGGTTTGCCTCAAAACAAGAAAAGTTCTATTGGGACGGTATCCACAAATTACCTGAAAGATGGGGGAAATGTGTAGCCAGCGATGGACATTACTTTGAATAAAGCACTTTTGATGTTTCTCTTGAAGTTATCATTTTTCTTTGATTACAAAATCTGCATTATTAACCGGTACACCGGTACTTTCCACATTTAATTTTGCGGTGAATCTAAAACTGCTTTAAAAAATAAAGCTCATCAAAACAAAATAGGCAAAAAGACATTTCTTCATAGAAGATATAAAAATGGCCCATAAGTATATGAAAAGATGTTCAACATCACTAATTATTAGGGAAATGCAAATTAAAATCGCAATGAGGTATCTCACACCCATTTGGATGGCTACTTAAACAAACAAAATAAATGTTGCTGAGTTTGGACTCTTGTGCAATATTGATGAGAATATAAAATGGTCCAGCCTCTATGTAAAACACTATGGTGGTTCCTCAAAAACTTAAAAATAGAATTGCCATATTGTAAGAAAATAGAAAATATATATTGGTCTCTGTCTCTGGCTCCTGACACAGAGCTCATGAAATCCTTCTAATTTCCTGAGTGATAAGAGCACTTGGTGCATGTTCTAATACTGGTTTTTGACCCTGGCTCCTAACATGTCTGGTCCCTTGTAATGTCCTGGGTGATAAGGGTGCCTTTGTTCTGAGTGGCTTTGGGTTGGCTTCTGGATGGCTCCTGGACAAGGGCCAGGCACAGGAAGATCAAGCTATGATTAGAAGTTGGAATTTTCAGCCCAACCCCCATTTTCTTGAGAAGGGAAAAGGGCTGAAAATGCAGTTAAATGCCTACATGAGGAAGCCTCCAAAAATCCCAGTATTGTGGGGTTAAATTCTTGGTTGGTGAATTTATCTGGGAGGGCGAACACTCCAACTGCATGGAGCCAAAAGCTCCTGTGCTTGGGACCATCCCAACGGGCCTTGCCATATGTGCTCCATCTGGCTGTTCATCTCTTTCCTTTAATGAACTGGTTTCCCTGAGTTCTGTTAGCCACTCGAGTAAATTATCACACCTGAGGAGGGAGTCTTGGGGACCTCTAATTTGTGGTCAAGTCAGACAGAAGCTGGGGACCTACTACTCGTGACGCATCTGAAGTGGGTGCGAGCAGTATTGAGGGACTGAACCCCTAACCTGTGGGATCTAACACTATTTAGTCAGAATTGAGTTAAATAGTAGAACACTCAGATGGTATCACAAAGAATCGCTTGGTATTGGGGGGAAAAACTCACATTTGAAAAAAAAAACAACCTCACATTTGGTGACCAGAAATGTCAGAAGTGTTCGGTGTGAGAAGTAAAAGAGAAACACAGGAGAAAGAACTGGGCTTTTCCCAATGGAAAAACAGGTTTTTCACCAAAACACATTTGATCCAGCAATTCCACTTCTGGGTACATATCCAAAAGAATTGAAAGCAAGGTCCCAAAAACATATTTGTATGTTCTATACATAGAAATGGAATATTATTCAGCCTTAAAAAGGAAATATCTGAGACATTCTGTAACAGGGATGCACCCTAAACATGCTAACTGAAGTGAATCACAAAAAGACAAATACTGTATGATTCCACTTATATGAGATATCTAAAATGGCCAAATTCATAGAAACAGACAATAGAAAGGTAGTTGCCAGGGGAGGGGGGAAATGGGAAGTTCCTTGATGGGTGTAGAGTTTTGCAAGATGAAAAGTTCTGGAGATTATTTTCACAATGTGAATAATACTGAATACTACTGAACTTTAGTACTCTTAAAAATGGTCAAGGTGGTAAATGTTTAATGTTATGTGTATTTTACCACAATTAAAAAAATTTTAATTAAAAGCAAAAACTTGCCAAAATAATTCAAAATTCAATTCCAGAAATATAGTTGCTAGAGATCATGATTCTTAGTGCATCAGAGCTCCATAATTCCTTTTCCAGAACAAGTTCCAGCTGCCCAGTCAGGATGAAAATCTGGGGCAGCTTCTGTCATCAATGGGCTAAACTAGAGGGGACAATGAATTCCACTTAAATGAAACTGAGCATTTTATTTATTTAATATATTTTTATTGATTTCAGAGAGGAAGGGAGAGGGAGAGATAGACAGAAACACCAGTGATGAGAAAGAATCACTGATCGGCCGCCTCCTACATGCCCCACACTGGGGATCAAGCCCGCAACCTGGGCATGTGCCCTGACCAGGAATTGAACCGTGACCTCCTGGTTCATAGGTCGATGCTCAACCACTGAGCCATGCTGGCCACGCAAAACTGAGTATTTTAAATTTAGAATAATTTCTGCCCACTAGATATGGAATAATTTAAAACTAATATGGTATTTTGATTGACTTAGAAATCATCTATTTCCAGTACCTGCCCCAATAACATTCAAACCTATGTTGAGTTCTAGTTCCTACAGAGAAAATAATGAACAAGAATAGATATGGTTCCTGCCCTCACAGATCTTATAATCCAGCAAAGGACACAGATAGAAAAATTAAATTGCATTCACACTGTCCCTGGCTGGGTAATCAGTCAGTTAGACTCAGCATCATCCAGTTACACCAAGGTTGCGGTGGGATCCCCAATGAAATATAAATAAGTGCAACAACAGATTGATGTTGCTCTCGCTCTCTCTCTAATTAATAAATAAACATAAAATGCGTGCCCTGGCGGGTGTGGCTCAGTTGATAGTGCCTCCTCAGGTTGCGGGGCTGGATCCCCGGTAGGGGGCGTGCAGGAGGCAGCGGATATAGATGTTCTACTCCCACATCAGCTCTTAAGTTTCTCCCTCTCCCTCTCTCTAAAAATCAATAACAATATAAAAAATAAAATAAAATGCGTTCACATGCCCTACAGCACAAACATCCCAGCGATAACTCAATGCAGGTTTTGTGTAATCACAGTGATTACACAATACATCACAACGGTTACACAACATTGATTACACAATAAACTTATTTTCACCGTGAAAAATAACCTCTGGTATCTTCTCACTTAAAGATGCCCCAGCACGACTGCTGAGGCTTTCATCTGTCCCTTTCTACCCCGGAGACGACAGGGTTCAAGGAGGAAGGGCTCCAGTTTCGTTTTCCCAGCTCGGAGGCCTCCCTGGGCGGCTCTCCCCTCCGAGCCCCGCGCAGGACCGGCCCGGCAGCCCCGAGGGGAGGCGGGGCGAAGTGCTTCCCCGCCCGGACCCCGCTCTCCCGGAGCCGGCGCGGGGGGCGCTCTCCCTGGGAACCCGGACATCCGCCTCTGGGGCGACTGCGCAGCAGCAGGGCCCGGCGAGCCCGGGAGGGCGACCTACCCATGCGGATGTGCACGCTGGCGGAGGCCACGCAGCTGCCATAGTTGAAGTCGTCCTCGATGGAGGAGCGGGGGTAGAGGGGATCGGCGTCGGCCATGTCGGCAGTGGAACCGCAGCTCCCCGCGGAATGACGCAGAGCGCACGGACCTCAACGGCCCTCGGTCACTTCCTGGGCGCAGTCCGCCCCGAGCGCCCGGCCGCTTCCGCGAGCGGCCGCGGCCAATCCGAGCGCCGGTCTCAGCGCGGCTCCAGGAAGGCTGCCGGGGTTAGGGTGCCGGAAGGCGGGTGCGTGCTCGGCGTCAGGTGAAGGGACACTTCTCTCAGATGTTCCTCAACAGCCTTTTTTTTTTTTTTTTTTTTTAAATCCTCACCGGAGGATGTTTTTATTGGTTTTGAGAGACAGAGAAACATCCATGTGATAGAGAAACATGGATTGGCTGCCTCCCGGCCGCCCCCACCGGGGATCAAACCGAAACCTAAGAGGTGCCCTGGCAGAATGGAACCCTTTAAACCTTGGCTGTGGCAGAGGAGCGCCAGCCCGCAGCAGGGCCAGGGCGCCCAGAGGGGGGTGTTGAGGGGCCCTGACAGGCAGCGCCCAGCGCAGTGGGTTAGGACCTCCTGATACAGCCAGGTTGCGGGTTGGATCCCCCGTCAGGGCACAGACAAGAAGCAACCAAAGAGCGCATAATAAGCGGAACGACACACTGGTGTTTCTCTCGCTCCCTTCCTAAAGTAATCAATCAAGCACTAACCGGTTTAGGTCAGTGGATAGAGTGTCCGCCTGCGGACTAAAGGGCCCCGGGTTCGATTCGGTCAAGGGCATGTGCCTTGGTTGCGGGCATATGCCCAGTAGGAGGTGTGCAGGAGGCAGCTGATGATGTTTCTAACTATCTCTCTCCCTTCCTCCTCTCTGTAAAAAATCAATAAAATATATTTTAAAAAATAAAGTAATCAATCAATTAAAATTAAAATAAACCCTCTGGCTAGCAGAGTTGCTAAAACAGTTAGAAAGCGAAGTCCCATCCCTTCCCATTAATTCAGCGGTTCTCAACCTGTGGGTTGCGACCCCTTTGGGAGTCCAACGACCCTTTCACAGGGGTCACCTAAGACCATCGGACAACACATATATAATTACATATTGTTTTGTGATTAATCACTATGCTTTAATTATGTTCAATTTGTAACAATGAAATTGGGGGTCACCACAACATGAGGAACTGTATTAAAGGGTCGTGGCATTAGGAAGGTTGAGAACCACTGCATTAATTCAACAAATACTTCATATCTCCTACAATAATCACACTGGGGATGGGTGTTTGTTTGTTTTGGTTAATCCTCACCTGAGGACATTTTTGCATTGATTTTTTTTTTTTTTTTTTTTTTTTTTTTTTTTTTTTACAGAGAGTGGAAGGGAGGGAGAAAGACAGAAACTAATGTGAGAGACATCAGTTGGTTGCCTCTTACTGAATCCCCAACTAGGGCCCCAGATTGAACCTGCAACCCTTGATCGGAATCCAACCCAGTACCCTTCAGTCCGCCTGCAGAAGCTCTATCCACTGAACCAAGCCAGCATTTTTTTTTCTTTTTAAGTCCTCATCTAAGGATATGTTTTTTTCATTGATTCTAGAGAGAGAGGAAGAGAGAGGGAAAGAGAAAGAGAAACATTGATCAGTTGCTCAAGCAATCCAACAGGGATGGAACCCACAACCTTTGTATGTGCCCTCACCTGGAATAGAACCCATGACCCTTTGGTGCATGGGAGGACATGCTACTGATCCACACCGACCAGGGCCTGGAGGTACATTAAAAAAATTCTTTTCAGATCTGCCCTGGCCAGGTGGCTCAATTGGTTGGAGTGTCAACCTGTACACCACAGGATTTCCTATTGGATTCTAGGTTAGGGCACATGCTTAGGTTTAGGTTAGATCCCGGTGGGTCAGCAGGTGCAGAGGCAGCCTACTGGTATTTCTCTGTCACATGGATGTTTCTCTCTCTAAAAATCAATTTTAAAAACATCTTCAGGCGAGAATTAAAAATATATATATTAAAATTTTTTCAGATCTAAAATTTTATTTTTTAATTTTATTTTTCATTTACAGTTGATATTCAATATCCTATCCTATATAATACTAGTAAAACCCTAATATGCAAATCGACCTAATAGTGGAACAGCTGGTCGCTATGATGCACACTGACCACCAGGGGGGCAGATGCTCAATACAGGAGCTGACCCCTGGTGGTCAGTGTGCTCCCATAGTGGGAGCACCGCTCAGCCAGAAGCTGGGCTCACGGCTGGTGAGCGCAGCAGTGGTGGCGGGAGCCTCTCCTGCCTCCACAGCAGTGTAGGACCCCTCGGGGGATGTCCAACTAATAGTTTAGGCCCGCTAGTTGGACATCCCCTGAGGGGTCCTGGACTGCAAGAGGGCACAGGCTGGGCTGAGGGCCCCCCCTCCCCCGTGCACGAATGTCATGCACCAGTCCTCTAGTTATTTTATATTAGTTTAGATGTACCGTGTAGTGGTTAGATAATCATATATTTTACAAAGTTTTCCCTTGATATTTCCAGTACCCACTTGACACCATACATAGTTATTATATTATTAAATATATTACCTATGTTGTACTTTATATCCACATGACTATTTTGTAACTACCAATCTTAATCTCCACCTTTTTCACCCAGTCCCCCAAACTCCCCACCCCTCTGAAACCATCTGTTTTCTGTATCTATGAGCCTGTTTCTGTTTTGTTTGTTTATATTGTTTTTTAGGTTTCATGTATAAGTTAAATAATTTGGTACTTGTCTTTTTCTGACTGACTTATTTCACTTAGCATAATATCCTCAGGGCCCATCCATGCTGGTGCAAATGGTAAGATTTCATTCTTTTTTATGGCCAAGTAATAGTCCACTTTTTATCCACTCATCTATTGATGGGCACTTGGGTTGCTTCCATATCTCGTACATTGTAAATATTGCTACAATGAATGTAGGGGCACATACATTCTTTCGAATCAGTGTTTTGCATTTCTTTGGATATATACCCAGAAGTAGAATTGCTGGGTCATAGGCAGTTCCATTTTTAATTTTTTGAGGAGCCTCCATACGATTTTCCATAGCAGCTACATCAATCTGCATTCCCACCAACAACGTAAGAGGGTTCTCTTTTCTCAGCATCCTCAGTAACACTTGTTTGTTGATTTATTAATGATAGCCCTTCTGATAGGTATAAGATGATATCTCAATATACTTTTAATTTGCATTTCTCTGATGGTTAGTGACATTGAGCATCTTTTCATATGTCTATTGGCAGTCTGTATCTCTTCTTTGGAGAAGTGTCTATTCATAGGGATGCATTTTCAATTCTGTTATTTTAACAATAATATTAATCCCTAAATGTAATGAGCATTTTCTATAAACCAGGTTTTTGAATGAAATAATGCTTAATCCTGGAAGACAAGTAGGAGCCAACCAGAGAAGAGTGGAGTGATGTAGGTAAATTCTCAAAGGACCAACATCTGCAAAAGAGGGAGGAGGGCAAGCCTCAGTGGGAGTGGGGTACAGAAAGCAACCAATAGGCTGGATAGATAGCAAAGGCCAGATCTCTGTATGCTATCCCAAATGTAGAATACATTGGAGAGTGTCCCAACCAAAGGCAGGTAAGAGGGGCTATTATATTAATCTAAAAGAAATGATGGTGGCAAATTCGATGAATCAGTTACTATTTGTGATATTGTGTCATTTCAATATAAAGGTGAGGTGTAGATTTACCCAGAGTGACATCATCCCAGGGTCCCGGGGACATTTTTTTGATGAGTTTACATTCACTCCGTCCCTACTTTCACCATAATACAGTACTCAAAAGACTTACTAAAAGCGGAACTCAGAATAGCTGTGGAACTGTCTATTTTGAAACTAAATTCTTAAACTTGATGATATTGGAAGCTTTGGTCAAAAAAAATTAACCTCATTTCCATAAGGATAAGCCAAGAAGCACCTTACATGTTATGACTTCACAGACATTTTATAAGCATATTACCCATTTTAATATTAAGTCATAACAAAAGGATTTATTATATTAAAAAACTGGAGTCCTAGCCAGTATGCTAGCTAAGTGGTTAGCACATCCTCTCTTCTCTCTTCTCTCTTCCTCTCTGTCATGTACCTACCAAGGAAAGGTAGAAGGAGGAGAACTCTGTCATCTACAAGCTAGAAGGAGGAGAGCTCTCAGCAGAAACTGGACCCTGCTAACACCTTCATCTTGGACTTGTAGCCTCCAAAATTGTGAGAAAATACATTTCTGTTATTTAAGCCCCATAGTCTGTGGTATTATATGTCAGCCTGAACCAGTTAATACAAGATTTATTTGGGAAATTTATTTAATAGCAAGGAAATGAAAGTAAAACCCTTGAGAGAGAAAATGTACACGATTTGCGTTTATTACATGACAATGAGATTTGTTTTTGTAAGCATTTTTATAAGTATTTTTTTCAACAAACATTGCATCCAGTGTTCTTACAGCCAGGAACAGTTTTGTCATCTGTACAATGCAGGAATTGGACTAAGATCTCTAAGCCCTTTCCTAGTCTTAAACTGCAAACAATCGGAGTAAATATTTTACTGCAAGAGAAAAACAATGTTGCCATATTCTCAGATCTTTTCACATGTCTGGGATTCTTCTAGGGATAAAGAAATGTTGGCTTCAAAAAATAGCACCTTAGCTAATATTGAAATTAGTATGAAAGCCCTTGGCTGAAAATTATTTGATTATAAAAATCAGATTTTAAAAGTCAGTGATAGCTAGGGACACGTTATTATAGGAATACACCCTGAGGTGCAAAGGGCCATGAAAATAATTCAAAAAGAAAATAGTGGCAGCTGTCCCTATGGAACTACTCCACTCCTTTCCCCACCCCCTTTTCCCTGGTGGGTTTTCCTGGCCTTTCTCTCTCCTAAGCTCCAAGGGCCCTTCTTTTGCCTCTGTAACTTGGTTCCTGGATGCATTTCTTCTACCTCTGTGACTTTCTAAATAAACTTTCTCTTATAAAAAAATAAATAAAAATAAACTGTCAAATGGGATCAACCATGCAAGTGTTGGAAGAAATTATTTTCTAGACTTTAGAATTTCCTAATCATAGATACAATGCAATTTAACTTTTGGGAATTTGGAAAACACAGGTAAGAAATAAAATCACCAATAATCCTTGAACCTAAAATGTTAATCATTCAGACCCAGAGAAAGATTGAAATATCTGAATGAGACTTGGTCCCCTCAAAGCCATATATT